GCTCGAGCAAATTGATGAACAATGGGAGGACAGTGCTACAGTGCTATGTTTAAAATCTTACATTAATTTTTTTTCTGTGGAGTTAGCTGGAGTTAAACAGAAATGTTTTCTTAGCTTGCTGTAAAGGCCTTACACCAAAATTACAGGTTGCAGGATATAATCCTAGTGTGTGTGTGTGGGGGGGGCTTTTGGGGGGATCACACATGGTGGTACTTAGGGCTTATCCTTGGTTTTGTGCTCAGAGGTCACTCCTAGCAGGCTTGGGGGACCATATGAGATGCTGGGGGATCAAACATGGGTCCACCAGGTGCAAGGCAAGCACCTTACCCACTGTACTATCTCTTTGGCCCAAATCTAGGTTATTCACCCAGAATACTATTACAGTTGTGGACTGGAGTGATAGCACAGTGGGTAGGAGTTTGCCTTGCATGCAGCCGACACAGCCAACCTGAATTCAATTCCTCCCCCCCCCCCCCCCCCCCCCCGTCTCGGAGAGCCCCGCAAGCTACCAAGAGTATCTCTCCTGCACGGCAAAGCCTGGCAAACTACCTGTGACACATTCGAAATGCCAAATACAGTAACAAGTCTCACAATGTTACTGGGCCCGCTCCAGCAAATCGATGAATGGGAGGACAATGACAGTGACAGTGACTATTACAGTTGTTGCCTTACATAATGAAACCTCTGCACCTACTTAAATGACTGGAATTCAGTGTCAACTCAGAGCAGCAGGAGTAGAGGTTTGCGAAGGCATCATGAGTTCAAACATCCCTAGGGCAGGGCCGGAGCAATAGGACAGCAGATAGGACATTTGCCTTGTATGCAGTTGACCCAGGTTCGATCCCCGGGATCCCATATGGTCCCCTGAGCACTGCCAGGAGTGATTCCTTAGAGCCAAAAGTAACCCCTGAGCATCGCTGGGTGCGACCCCAAAAAGCTAAGCCAAACCAAATCACAAATCACAAATCATCCTGCTATTCGTCGATTGCCTCAAGCAGGCCCCAGTAACATATCCTTCATCCTAACCCTGAGATTATATTCAAGGCTCTTTAGGAGAATGAGACCCATCATTGTTACTGGTATTTGGCATATTGGGTACGCCACGGGGAGTTTGCCAGACTCTGCCGTGTGGGCAGGCTACATTCAGTAGCCTGCCAGTTTGTCCAAAGTAGGAATGAGATAATAAGATGTCATAATAAGATGTCGCATTTGCGGCCGCGCGGTTCCGGGAGCTAGTTTTTATAGAGCCAAACCAAACCAAACCAAAAAACCTCCCTAGGGCTGCTTGTGACCCTCAGGGAATGCTGGAGAGTGGGAGTGGTGGGTGGTGGGTATAAATCTGAGACCTTCCTATCCTTCCAGACTGACCCCACTGTGAGAGCTTTCCCACCTGTTCTGGGTTTGTCCTTTATCCTTCAGCCATGGTTCAATTCTGATCTGGGGATTTGCAGCCTGCATCTTTTTCAGACAGGAAGTGCTCTAGGAGCAGAAGTTTCAGGCTGCCATGAGATCAAAGCAGACACATACACAGCAGGGGAAGGGACGCGTGTTTCTGTAGGGACGCCGTCTGTTAGACTTTGCTTCCTCCACTGCCCACTTTCACTTCTGGGGTTCTGGGCCAGTGCAGTCTGTGGCCGGGTGCTCAGAAGAGGCCAACTGTTGGAAACTGCTGCTGTCACCTTGGAGTACAGGCAGGAAGTGCCATGTGTTAAGAGAATGCCAATGACGAGTCGTGGGGATAGAGGGACTTTGCAAAACACAAAGATCAGTGGTGAGGGACTGGAGTGATAGCACACCTTGCACGCGGCTGACCTAGGTTCAATTTCCAGCATCCCATATGGTCCCCCGAGCACCGCCAGGAGTAATTCCTGAGTGCACAGCCAGGAGTAACCCCTGTACATCGCCAGGCGTGACCCAAAAAGAAAAAAAAAGGTCAGTGGCAGAGAGGAGCCCCTCTGATGGGGATGCCCCGGGTGCAGTTCAAACACAGATACTGAGAGGGTATCATGTTTGTTCCTTTACCTACTTTCAGCACACTGTTCCTATCCAGAGTGATCATCTCCAACTGTCTTTATCATAATGGTCCCTTCTCAATCCCAATTGCCTTCTTCCCAGCACTTGAGGCAGGCTTCTGACCATGGACTAATCCTCCTGGCCCTTGTTTCTATTGTCCTTGGGTGTGAATCTCATAGTATGTGTTTTTTATATTCCACACATGAGTGCAATAATTCTGTCTGTCCCTCTCCTTCTGTCTCATTTCGCTCAGCATGATTGAATGGACTCTCCGTGTCCATCCATTTATAAGCGAATTTCACAACTTTTTTTTTTTTTTTTTTTGCTTTTTGGGTCACACCTGGCAATGCTCAGGAGTTACTCCTGGCTCTGCACTCAGGAATTACTCCTAGTGGTGCTTGGGGGACCACATGGGATGCCGGGAATTGAACTCTGGTTGGCTGCGTGCAAGGCAAACGACCTGCCCACTGTACTATCGCTTCGGCTTACAACTTCATTTTTCCTAACTGCTGCATAGTATTCCGTTGGGGAGACATCACAGGTGCAATTCAATAAATTCTCAACAAGCTCCTCCAATCGCGCCCCCCATGTCCCCCAAAATTATTGCTGCCTGTGCCCAGGCTTAGAGGATCAGCCACCCGCCTGCGTGTGTACTGGCAGCCACGAGTACCACCAAGGGGCCTCAGATGTCCCCGCCCCAAAGCAGTGGAATGTTTCACCTTTTGTTCCTAATTTCTTGCCTGTCTGCTAGCTCTGCACACCTACCATGGCGGGGACTCCTGGCGTCTACGGCCTCCCCAGGCTCAGGGCTCTGTTCTGTGTGCCAATGTTCTCCTGGAAAAGGCACCGGCATACTATCCTGCGGAAGTGATGCAGCCCCAGGCGCCCAGCCCCTTCATCATTGAAGGTCTCCCACCAACTGCTCCCCGGGCCCACCATTAGCTGTGCTAGTGCATCTCACACTCTGCCCTCTCGGGTGGAGCCCTATCTGCCACCCCTGTGGGCGTGTGGGTTGGTGATGATGAGTGGAGTGCCAGCTCACTCTTCCATGGCCTCGCGGGTTCCAGGTAACTGCAGCCCTCTCTCCACCACAGCTGTACTCAACTCCCACCATGGACGGTCCTTCTCGGGCTTCTTTCCAACTCACCGTCTTCTGGGTTGTCTTGTCTTGTTCCTACCGGAACTAGAATCGCCCAGGGCGTTTAGACACACTGAGGGTTTCAGGGTAGAGGGGGCCACAACCAAGTTGACCTTGGTATTGACCTTGGTGTGCCCATCCTTGTCACATTCCTACAGTGCATCCTCAAGGAAGACTTCCAGTCCAGTTGGAGGGGTCCACTCTCCCACCCCTTTTCCCTGAGACTTCCTTGGGATACCCCCTAGGAGCTGCCAGCCCACGCTGGGCCCCCAAGCTATTCAGAGGCTTCTGGGGCATGACGTTGCTGTGTGCTTGTTCAACCTGGGCACCAGGTTGCTTCATTGGCCGGTGCCCCTCACCCTTGGGCCCCTCTCCCCCACCCCCACCCCATGGCTGATCCTTTGCTGTGGAGCCCGTTGGTAACATCAAATATTACCAGGCCGTTAGGTACAAAATACTCATGTATTTATGAATTCATGACCAAATTAAATATGAAACCTTATATAAAAAGAGGTGTGGTTTGTTCCTCCCCATCCACAGCAGCTTCTGGCGAGCACAGGGCGGGTCCTGCTGTGTGCCTCGCTCTATCCTGTCCTTCTGGAAGCCTCAGGCTTGCTCTGCAGGGCGGGCCCCCTGCCCCGCCGTTAGCTCTGAACTCCCCAGAGCCAGGTTCCCCGAGGGGATGGGTAGTTGGGGGGCTGGACTCTAGCGTGCCCTGGCCCCCCCGGGGAACAGGGGCTCCTGCCCTCTCCAGAGTCCGCTGGGCTCCCATCTGGTGTCGGCTGGCTCCGGCAGCGTCTTCGGGGAAGGGGCAGTGGGTCCCTGAGGGGCAAACTGGCCTTAGGCGCGGGGTCGTTCGGGGATCCCCTGTCCTGCCGCGTGGCCAGCCTGCCTTTCTGCATCAGCCACGTCAGGCTTCTCCGCCAAGGACAGCGTTCCCTCCCCCGCGGTCTCTAGGTCCTGGCTCCCCTCCCACTAGGGTCCCTGGGGCACCTGCAGCACACTGGCGCTCCCCAACTCTGCCCCCTGCCCCTTGGTCAGGGTGCTGAGCTGCACCACTGCCCACAGTACTGGGCTTCATAATCCACGCCCCGGAGGAGGCCACCAGCCAGCAGGGGGCAGCAGGAAGCCGGCTGCCCAGCTAGCCCTTCCGGCTGGGCCTTCCCCTAAGGTGAGCTTGAGCCAGACCCCACGGGGCCTGCCCTTCGGCTGCTGATGGGGGCTTCACCTTAAAACATTCTCTGTCTTGGTGTGGGCACCACTAGATTGCTGCCAAGATTTCCTGTCTCTGGCTTGGCTCCATCCCAGTCCTAAAGCCAAACTTGGGGTGGTCCCCACTTACAGCAGCTTTCTGAGGTGTGGGGACAGTGGGGCTCTGAGCTCAGGACCTCGATGCCGCCCTGCCCCACCCCCACCCCCAGGGACTTGGTCTCTTCAATCTAGAGGTGGTGGTGGCGGTGGTGGGGGGGGGGGGAGGGATATGGAAGGTAGATTGGGTTGAAAAATGGAGAGAGGGTTCATTATGACCCACTGTGCCCTGTTGGCGTTGCATGTTGATCCAATCTGCAACCCCCACCCACCAACCCCCCACCTGATTCTCATCCCTCGGTCCTAACCTGGGCTGTGCTCCCAGCTGGTGCTCCCTGCTTCCCTCCTTTCCTTTCCTTCTAGCCCCGCCTGCCTGAGGCCACATCCTCTGAACCCCACGACGTCCCCTCCTGAGCCTGACCTGCTCAACAGCCACAGACTACGGCCCCCCTCTGAGGGGTGCGAGCAAGGGTCCCATCCCCGAGAGCCCCCCCCAACCCCCTCTCACCCCTCCCAAGCCTCGACCACAGCACGGCGGGCAAAGCCGGGCAGCAGGTGACCGAGCCCCAGTGGGCGAAGCTGGCACAGACGGTGGCAACCTCACCTTCCCCTTCTCTCCATGGGGGTCCCTCAGCTTTAAGAAGATGTGCGCCACAAGGGGGTGGGGGGAGGGGCTCCTCCAGTTTCCTCCTGGGAGGGGACGAGGAGAGGGGGAGAGTCTCTGCAGTGGTAGTGTTGTTGTTGATCGGGGGTTTGGGTTTTGTGTTTTGTGTTTTTTTGCTACTCGTACCCCACGCCTAAGAAGCCATGCTAAGCTCCAGCCCCGCACCCCCGCCGGCCTCGCCCCTGCTCCGCCTTGAGCTCCCATCCGAGTCGGTGCAAGAGGAGAGATGCGTTTCCGTGGCACGGAGAGGCCCGACCATCTCCCAGCTTCCTCAGGCCTGGGTGCCCTCCGTCGGGTGGGCAGACAGAGGGCAGTGGGGGCCGCTCTCTTAACGGTTTCCTCTCTGCCCTGACTCTTGCGTGCGGAGCAGGACTCAGTCTGGGGAGGAGGCTCCCCTCCGCGACTCCCCAACCCAGAGGCTCAGCGCCACCGCCAGCGGCCACCCGGCCCGGCTCTGGGACTGGGGACCCCTGAAGGGGTCTCTCTGCACCGCGGGGCCCCGTCCCCTCTCGCCCTGGCCGGCAAGACCCGCTCTGCCCTCAGGGTCCTGGTTCCGTGGGTCCCCCTCGTCCCTGGAAGAGGTGAGGGTGATGCAGAGGGGCAGAGGGGCAGGGGCCAGGTGGGGGAGGGGACAATGGCAGCGGGGTCCCAGGCCGGGGGGCTCTCAGACCACAGCCGAGGAGGACGAGGGGGACGATGAGGAGGCAGCAGAGGAGGAGGGCGCCGAGGGATTGTTCCAGAAGAGCCAGCGCCGCTTGGGCAGCCGCTTCAGGTGCAGATAGTCCTCCTTCTCCCGCTCCTTGCGGGCGCGCTGGTAGTGGTCCTCCTCCTTCAGGTACCACACGGGCGGCCACCGGTGCTTCTCGAAATACTCCTGGTTCTCTGCAGCGAGCACAGCAGGTCTTGGTTAGACAATGGGCTGCTGGGAAATCGGTCTGGGGGGGGGGGGGAACCCTCCACCCCAACTGCCCTAGGGGCTGCTGGGGTCTTCAGTCCAGCAAGAAGCCAATGCCTGCCAGGGAGCTGAACCCCTGCCCGCAGCCACCCACAAAGGCAGTCCACTGCGCGGGCAGGACAAAGGCACCGCCGGAGAGAGGCCTGGTGTGTGCTGGAGGAGAGAGAGGCAGCAGCAGGCGGCGGGGAGAAGTCGGGGTGCAGAGCCATGGGCAGCTGGCGAGAGGAGAAGGCTCTGGGCGAGCTGAGGTGTGGGGTGGGGGGCCGCAGGAAGGTCAGGGATGGAGGCCTGGGCCCAGAGGATTGCACTCAGGTGGAGGGCGGGGGCAGGAAGGACCAGGGCACTCGGGGACCAGGGAAAACCAGCAGGGCTGTCACCACGGAGGATGGGGTACAGAGTGGGAGCACGTGCCCGCTGGGGTGGCCAACCCAGAAGATGAGGAAGGTCCTGGCGGGTGAGGACCTCAAGGACACCTGGGGGCAGGGTTTAGGGAGGCCTGTGGAACTCCTCTGTGCCCATCACCCTGGTACCCAACACACTAAAACAGGGGTCGCCGGGCCCGTCAGAGGGTACTTCTCCTGGGCTGGTAGTGCCAGGATCGTGTCCAGCCAAGGTCATCACAAAGCATTTCCGTATTTCTTTTCTCGATGTGCATGGGGTCACGATAGACAATGCATTCTCTCCTGTGGGGTCCTAACCAGCTCGAGCCCAACACCCCGCCCAGGACCTGGGGAACACAGACCCCAGAGCGGCCCCAGCTGCTCAGGATGGGAAGAGTCGGCAGGGAGCCTCGGCAGCTGCTCCCCACTCCCAAGGAAACTCAGGCCTCCACCAAGGGTCCTGGGTCTCACACACACACACACACACACACACACACACACACTAGTCCCCCGGAGCCAGGCGATGTCCGCAAGAGGCTCACCTGGGGACATGGCCTTCATGTCTCGGGGGAATTTGCGGCACACGTTGTTGTAGTTGGTGCAGATGTGGTGGAGACACCAGTCAGCCAGCTGGTACGCGCAGTGGAACTGGGGGAGGGGGAGCGGAAGGGGCTTGTGACTGGGACGTCGTGTCCCTCCCCCTCTCTCCTGCCTACACCACCCCCATTCTCGGGTCTCCTTTTCCTCCCCTGGCCGCCGCCCCCATACCCAGGCTGCTATTGGGGTGCCCAAAGCGGACACAGATTTGGTCCTTTTCACAAATTTCCACGGTGAACTTCTGCGCTCCCACAGGCTGAGGAGCTGCATTCGACTTTATGTTGGTAAAGAAGCAGGTGGACCTCACAGATGAAAGTGCCCAATGTCCTTTAAATGACAGCAGCCTTCCCTCCCCCTGCCCTGTGGCTGCTGCAAATGCCCAGCGAGGCAGTGGGCATGGCCCCTGCCCCACCCACAAGGGTTTCCTCTCTGCCCTACTGCCCAGCCCTTTGCCAACGCTGCCTGTGGACACGGCCCAGCACGGACTCAGATGAATCTCTCTGCTCTCTTACCTGAGCCAGTTCCAGGAACACCAGGACGTCCCCATCAATGTCCACCATCATCTGAGTCGCTTCCATCAGCCCCGTCACCGTGTACTGCTCTGTGACACACACACACACAGCCCGGAGGCAGTTGAGGAAGCGTGCAAGCAGACCACAGGCAGGCAGGGACTCGCAAGGAAAAGCCCCGGGCTTTCTTCCCTCTGAGAAGCCCATGCTCACTCTCTGTCTGTCTGTCTGTCTCTCTCTGTGTCTGTCTGTCTGTCTCTCTATGTCTCTCTCTTGTTTTTTGCGTGTTTTTTTTTTCTTTTGGTCACACCTGGCTCAGAGGTTACTCCTAGCTTTGCACTCAGAAATTACTCCTGGCGGTGCTTGGGGACCCATGGGGGATACGAGGAATCAAATTCAGGTTTGCCACATGCAAGGCAAACGCCCTCCCCACTGTCTTATTTTGTTCCAGCCCCCCATGTTCTCTCTTGAGCATTTATTTCTCTCCAGCCCCCCATGTTCTCTCTTGGGCGTATATTTCTCTCTTACATTTCTCTAAGCAAGTTGCTTTGGATGAAACTATTTTGCTTCACTATCAAGGAAAGGCCATGGGAAGCTGCAGGTATCTACCAGTGAGGAAACTGGCTTCCGAGCAGCGCTTTCCCAGTGGAGTGGAAAAGTGAGAGGTGGGAAGTGAGGGAGGATTGTCCAGTCATCTAAGAGGAATTTTTCAAGCCTCCTATAAGTTCTACCAAGGAACCTGACGGACTCATGGTGAAGTCCCAGCGGGCTGGGCTGTGAGACAGCCAGGAGCAGGAGTCATGTCTCGGTGTGCTAGGAGTGGCCAACTACCACTATGGATTAAACCTACTGGTTTGGAATGACAAATTTTATATATCATATTTGGAGCCAGAGTCAAAGTACAGTGGGTAAGGCACTTGCCTAACACACGGCTGACCTAGGTTTTGACCCCCAGCAACCCATATAGTCCCCTGAGCTTGCCAGGAGTAAGCCCTGAGCACTGCTGGATGTGGCTCAAAACCAAAGAAACCGAAACAAAAGGAAAAAAAGCAGACAATTCTTCTTGGTGAAACACATGAACCTCTGACATTATCTATTCCAAGAAAGTTGAATGTGGATCAGATCTAGCCTTCGGAACCAACAATCGGCTTACTGGAGCTATGATGTACTACAGAAATGCCAGTAGCAAAATCTTAGTTGTGGACAACTCCGCCAAAGGACAAACTACAGTAGCTTTTGTTGCTAATTAGCTGTGGGGCTGCCTTGAGAGGTTCTCAGGAGCTAGGATTACCCCTGACAGCATTCATGGGCCCACAGGGCCCCTCTGGGTGATGCTAGGGGGTGGGGGTATATGAGGTGCTGGAGATCAACCCAGGCCTTTAACACTTGAGCTACAGCTCTTGTTCCCAAATTTCCAGTGGGTTTTCCCCAATATAATGCATATTTTTTAATATTTTAAAAGAAACTGAAAAAAAAAGCATGTAAAGGGGAAAAAAGGAAAACCATGTTCTAGTGATTAAATATACACATTTGCCAGATAAAACAACAAAGATGAGTAAAGAAGTGAGGTCCTAAGAGGTACCCTTAAAAAAGAAAAGGATAACAGGCAAGGGTTCCCTGCCAAGGAAGGAGAGCGAATGGTTAGACGGGACAGCCGGTGGCACTGGGCTGAGCCTGTGAGAGTCTAGCCCCTCATGGGAGAACGTTACCCAGAATAACCTGCTAAGCTCAACCCGTTCCATGAATCTGTGTCACACTTAACATGGAAACAGTCTTCATGTGGGGGGTGGGGGGCAGAGAGATGGGCTAGGCACACGCTTCGCACGAGGTCGTCTGGGTCTGAGCCCTGCATAGTTCTCTGAGTGATACCAGAACTGTCTGTGGAGCACAGAACAGGGAGTAGTCCCTGAGCACCAGTAGGCGGGGGCCCCAAACCCAAAACATTAGATTTAATGAAGTTGTTTTATGTTTGAGTCAATGACTTCATAGAAAGCCGAACAGGGCTGGAGGGCATCAGATACTCCAGCCAAACTTCTCAGCAACTTCTGCTCACTTGCAGCAACACTCATGCACCGCCCTTCCTGCAGGATTTCCAAGGAGGACGGACCCACCCTGGGAGAAACCATTCCACCCGGGGCTGGCGGGCCCATCTGTGCAGCCGTGCAGCTTAATATTTCTAATGGCCTCTACTGGAAAACTGCCTATGTGTGCTTACCTAGTCAGCTAGATTCTGCCATCATGTCATGATGCCACAAAGTAATAAAAAACATCTTTATACAGTTTTTTTTTTAATTTTTCAGTCTTTCTAAAATTGAAACACTTGGTTCAAGAGTCTGAACCGGGGCTGGAGCAATAGCACAGCGGGTAGGGTATTTGCCTTGCACACAGCTGACCTGGGTTCAATTCCCAGCATGCCATATGGTCCCCCGAACACCGCCAGGAGTGATTCCTGAGTGCATGAGCCAGGAGTAACCTCTGTGCATCATCGGGTGTGACCCAAAAAGAAAAAAAAAGAGTGTGGACCATCGTACATGCCCAGGGAGGGCCTGTCTCTTCATCCCTGCCCTCAAGTCCTCTGTGCGCCCAGCTGGGGTCCCCGACCCCTCCGTCGCCTGACGCTGAATATCCCAGATCTGATCAATGACTCTGCCTTCTCACTGCATATGACAAAGGCCCCGCTTTAAAACTCATTTCTCCTCAGAGATTACTGTTTCCCTCCATCTGAATCACCCCTGATACTGACTCCTTCCTGAGACCCTGACTCAGTACCGGAAACCTTCTGCCTCCGGTTAAAGAACATGAACCTGAATACCAGCCTCAAGACAGGCTCTGACAGCAACACCTCCCCACGCCAGCTGCCAACACCAATGGGAGCACCCCTTCATCTGCAGGGCCCCTTCCCCAGCCTCCTGCCACCCCCTCTTCCCACCAGCCTGCCCTCCTTCCAACTCCCCAATCCCAAGAACCCTGGAATCGGCTCAGTTCTCACAATCTTTTCAAAGAATTGAGAGTGGCAGGTGAATATTTGTTTTTCTGTTTCTGGAAGAAAAAAAGAAAGCAAAGCTGAAGGTGGAAGAGGAAGATGAGGAGGTGGGCAAAAAGAGAAGAAGAGAAGCAGAAGCCAAGGGCACAGGGATTGTGTTCTCCGGCTTTGAGTCCTCAGCAAGGAAGAGGCCATGCAGACTGAGCACCTCTCTCTCACATTGCTTGGAGATTCCCTTGGTGGGGGAGGGGCTGGAACCCCTCCAGGAGAGCCTCTCCCTGACACCTCACCCGAGTCCTCAGCCCAGCCTGGCGTGTACCAGCATGCCTCACTCTCTGTCAGCTTGGTCCCTGGCTGCTGGCAACCTGTCCCACAGGAGCAGGGCGGAGAAGCTCTCTCTCCCCTCCTGGGGTTCCCTGCCTTCCGCGGGGAGGCCCCTGAGTGCCCTGGTTACTTACCTGTGAGGGCAACCAGGTGTGGCAGGCAGAGGCGGTTGGCCAGGATGATGAGCTTCATGTCATCCAGGTCGGGGCTGGAGGTGAACATGCCCGTGTAGAGGTACTCCAGCACCGCCCTCATGCAGCTCTTGCTCGTGTAAGGAAACACAACCTGTGTGGGGGGGGATGGGGAGGTGCATACGGTGAGGTTCCCCCCAACCCCACCCAGGACGGGTCACTCAGTTCTGAGAAACCCCACAGTCATCCCACTCAGACAGGTCACCCTGCCCCTGCCCCAGAGACCCCCACAGCTGTCTCCCCAGGAGACACGGGGCCCCGTCAGCTGTAACAAGAGGCCCTGGCTGCTCTCCACACCATTTGGAAGCCCTTGTGGGCCGAAGGACGCTTGACGAGTCTTTTCAGTTTCTAAGACCTCCCCGGGCCCCTTGGGTCCTGAGGAAGCCGCGAGAGCGGGATGGAGGCCGATCAAAGCCAACACCCGCCGCTTCTCTCTGACTGCCCGGAGTCACTGCTTTGGGCCCATGGGATCTCCTCCGAGCCGTGCCGCAACCGAAACTGCCTTCTCATCAGACGCGAGTCTCCCCGTGCCGCCCTGGGAATCGGCCGGAGCTCTTCTCAGGCTGGCTTCCGCGGAGCTGAGCCGGGCTGAGAAGCAATGGCCCGTGGAGCTTCGGGAATTCCTCTCCACGAGGCCCGTCCCCATCCTGATCCCGAGACTGTGACAATCAGGAGGCACTCAAATCCCAGGCCTGGGCCTTGGCCAGTGTTGGGCTCCTCATTCCTCCCCTGAAGCCCTGCAAGTCCCAATCTGCTGTCCCCTGACATCAGGCCACCCTGCCTGATGTCCACTTTCTCACTTAAGTCCCAAGTGTGTGTTTCCCAAAGGGAGTGGCACAGAAGGAGGCACCTGGCAGAAGGGAAAACTCCCCGTCCCCACCTAAATCAGCAGCCACTTAGAGAATGGGCCCATGACCTTCGGAGGTGGAGGAGGCCCACAGTCCCATGGGACGGTGAGAGCTCTCTGGGAGTTTCAGAGAGAAGCCACCACGCGCCGTGGCCAAGGCTCAGAGACGGGCGTGGAGCAAAGAGACTTCGGAGAACGTTTTCCAGCACAACATATTCCGAGCTCCCTCCCACAGCCCCGAGGAGGTGTTCACTGTGAAAGGAGCCAAACTGGAGGGGCACTGCCTAGAGAGAATGGGCCCTGGGGGGCCTTTCCTCGCTCCCTGTTTGTACTTTGCTGCTTTGACACAAGTGGAAGGCTTTGCTGATCCTGCAGGGCCTGCCCCTCCCAGGCCCAGGCAGTTCCTAGGTTGTAAAGCATCATCACTGTTGCAGCTCATCTGCAGCCCACAGCCCACAGTTCACCACCACCTGTCTCTGCTCCCCTCCCCCCAGCTGGGCCAAGGGCCACACAACTGGGCCCTCTGGCCTGAGTCTGCTGGGCTCACTCAGCCAGCCCACCTTAAGCCTGCTTTGCTCTTTCCTTCCAGGGAACCTGCCCACAGGTATCCTGCACTTAGGGCCTCCCGCTCCCCACATCCCCACGGCTTCCCGCCCACCCCCTGGGCCTCTTCCGATCTACTCAGTTTCTCCCAAAATCCTTCCATTTATGCATGTGATTGGGCCGCGTTGGGGACAACTGCGTCTCCTCTCACTGTTGGCTGCATGTACAGGGTGCAAGGTGGAGAGCCAAGGAATCAGCAGTCTCGAGTTCAAGCTCTAAACTCCCCTTTCTACTCACACAACCCTGGGGACGCCAAGTAGCATGACAGGGCCTTGCTTTTCTGGCAAAAAAGTGAGACCACCCTGCTGCGTAGGCGCTTGGCCTGAGATGGCTGGCGAGAACATACCAGAAACGTTTTCTAAATGATGGAGGTAAGTCGTTCCCAGAATCCCTTTACCTAGAAAATGGTGCAGGGCTCTGGGAACCACCTCCCCGACTTCTCCCGGTGCTATCACCCAGGGTTAACGCGGCCAGGTAGTGGTGGTACGTGCCTCCCCCTCCGAGCCTTACCTCCCGAGTGGAACTCTCCACAAACGGCCCTCCGAACATGGCAGCCATCCAGTCACAGCTGGAAATCAATAGGGGCTTGTGGGCGCTGATGGTGCCGTCGTCCAGGATGAAGGTGACATCTGTCGGGGAGGAGGAGATGTACCGCATGAGGACATGGGTGGGTAGCAATGGGACTGCGAGCCCAGGGCAAGAAGCTACAATCAGAACAAAGCCCCCTTTTCTGAAGCCATGAGCTGCGGTGGTCACAGCAGCTCAGCTCTCAAGTATGAGACCCAGGGTCTTGGAAACTGAGCCACCCCATCACTGGGACACACAGCTGAAACATCTGGGAACCGCCATCAGGTGGATGCAGACCTCCACCTGCGGGAACGCCCCTGCCATCCGGCCCCGGGGAGCAGAGGAGCCCCCAGCAGGATTAGTTCCGACGAGCTCTCTCTACCTGAGAAGGTGCCCTTTGCCAAGCACTCTTTCACCCGGTTGGTCCGGCGGACGTGGAAGGCCTTGGTGATCTCCTGGTTCATGAAGGCCTCGTTGTTGAGGATGTTGGCGACCATCATGCGCAGGTCAAAGACCTCGAGCAGCTCCGCGATGTGTGCAATGTGCATGAGGTCCCGCTCCTTCTCGTCCAGCTCGCCCGTGTACAGGTACTTCAGAACAGCCCGGAAGGGCCCCGGCTGGATGGAGCTGTCCATTTTGACCACCACCATCAGCCGGGACTTGTAGGTCAGAGGGTCTTCCGCCATCTCCTCCTGGATGCTCACGAAAGCGCGGCTCCAGGAAGACAGCACTCGGGCCCGGCCTGGCAGGTACCCTGTCCCGTTGCCCCGTAAGATGCCGTCGCTGGTCGAGGCCCGGAGCCCAGCAGGCCCGGAGCCCCCACCCTCGTCCACACTCTCGCACACGTCGAAGCTGGCGGCCCGAAGCAGAAAGTCCCGCCCGTGGTGGTGGTGGTGATGGTGGTGGTGATCAGGGTGACCCCGGGGGTCCTCTGGGCGGGGGCCCCCGGGCGCTGAGGGGCCTCCCAGCTCCCCCTCACTCAGGTCCATGAGGAACAGGTCGTAGAATTTGGAGGAGGAGGTGGAGAGGTAGATCTTGTGGGCAAAGATGCGCACCCGCTCCTGCAGCACCAGGATGACGTCCGCGCACAGCGGATCCTCCAGGAGGTGGGCGGGGCACTCCTCGCTGCTGGAGGGGGCGGCGGGCACCACGATGATGGGGGGTGGCGGCTTGGGGGGCAGGAAGGGCGCCTGCAGCAGGGGCCGCTGCACGTTGCGCAGGTGAGACTTCCAGAACTGCAGGTGGCGGCGGGAGATGAGCGCTGCCCGGATGGCATTGTCAAAGACGTCCTTGATGCCAAACTGGGCCACCACACTGGTCTCATAGTAGGGGATGCCCAACTCCTTGGCCACCTCCCGGCCCTTCTCAGGGGGAAGGATCTCATTCGGCTTGATGGGCCTGTAGGTGAAAGGAAGGAAACCCAACTCATGTCGGTGGTAAAGGGTGGACGGTGGGCGCAGGCCAGAGGGACTCTGTTCAGGATCCGTGTCTTGCCCTGCTCTTAGTCACTAAATTTCTCCCCTTTCTCCCCTGTCTGCTCACATCCTACCAGTCCAATGGTCCACCTCCAATCCCCATTTTTTCTGGGAGGCCTTCTGTATTCTCCAGGTCCACGATCTCCCTGCTCCCAGCAGTGGTAGCTCTAACGATCATGCTGGCAATTATTACACAAGGTCCCACATTCGTTTTTTAACACAGTTACAAATTTGTCACATATTCTCATACAGTTCACCTCCCGCACCTTCCCACAAAGACAACTTCCTCTTCTCCTCAATCCTGTGCTCAATCCTGCATTACCCACATAGCATGTAATAGATGGAAGGATGGAAGGATGGAAGGATGGAAGGATGGAAGGATGGATGGATGGATGGATGGATGGACGAACAAATGGATGGATACATGAGGGGAATGTACGCACAGGAAGATGGAAGAAAGATGGATAGATGCGTGATTGGATAAATAGATGGATAGACATATGGATGAGTGAATAAATGGACAGATGGAGAGACAGATGGGTGGGCAGATGAGTGGAAGGAAAGATAGATGGATAGATGGGTGGGTGGGTGGGTGGACGGATAGACAGAGACAGATGGACATACATATAAATGGACAGGTAACTGGATGAATGGATGGACATGGATGAGTGGGTGAATGGATGGACAGATAAGCAGATGGGTGGGTAGAGGGAACGATAGGTCGTAGAACCCAACCACATAGATGGGTAGGTGGACGGAATGAAAAATAAATGGATAGATGGATGGATAGATGGTGGATAGATGAGTGGTTGGACGAATGGTGTGGATACACATTCTTTTGGTTCCTTATGTTGGCTGCTGCAAATAGAAAGGCATATGGCTCAGTAGGAGTCTCAGGGCAAAGCAGAGAGCCATGGAGATACACCCCCACACTCCCCCTGGCTTCCTCCTTCCCCTCCCTGGGCACCAGCTCCCCTACCTAGCCAAGGGTCTCCTGGCCCTGTTGACAGCTTCCAGGTCCGCATAGCGCAGGTCCAGCTGGCAGCCTACTAAAATGACAGGAGCGCGGGGACAGAAGTGCTTGATTTCTGGGTACCACATGGTCTTGACATGGTGGAGGGAATTGGGGTTGGCAATGGAGAAGCACAGAACCACCACATCTGACCTGGGGGTAGGACAGGAAGATTAGGGGCAGAGAAAGCAAGGTTCCCACCCCTGGAATGAAGAAGAATGCGCATGACCCTCACCCCTACACTCGTGTTCCACATCGAGTCACCTGCATCTGCCCGTGTGACTTACACAGCATCATAACAGCTCCTCGAATTTAGCATCTTAGAGCTTTCAACGGCCCTTGTTTTGACCTCATGGCTATCTTGTGAGTTAGAAATTACCATTTTTGCCACCTCATAGCTAAGAAAAAACATCTCAGAACAGTCTTCTAATTGGTCTGAAATCACAGAGCTAGGAAGTGGCAGGGCTGGGGTTCAACCCAGCATCCTGTCTGCAAGCCTGGGCTCTTTCCCCGCCCCGTGCTGCTCTCGTAGGAGGCTGCTGACTCTGTTCTCCACTCCTGCCTTCCTGCTCCAATTTCACAGGCGCCCAATCTTCGTGAAAGCAGCCAAACCCCAGGCCCGGCCTTGCAGGCCTCCAGAGTCCTTCCCTACCTCCCGTAAGCAAAGCGACGGTCTTTGTGGTGGTCTCCAAAGGTGTCCCAGAGGCGGAGGGAGACACTGACATCATCTACCACATCCCGAGATCGTTCCAGCACCTGTGTGTTGGGGCGGGGGGGACGTGGATAGGGAGACAGGGATTGGGTGAGGAGTCAGGACAACAGAACTTAGGATACCTATGAGTGAACATACGGCAGTGCCGGCCCAGTGACTGGAGGGCCAGAGCTAGTGGCGTCTCCGGGACCACCGTGATCCGGCGTAGTCCCTGTAGATGCAGGAGCCAGGGCAGCAGGCTGTGAGGGCAGGCTGGTGGGGGCGCACGGACCCTCTGAGGGAGCTACCGCTGAGCCTCTGGCAGTTTCTTGCTCTCAGCTCTCCACCTCCCATAGCCTTTCTCCCCCGACCCCACCATTCCTGAGGTCAGGAGTATAGAATATGCTGGACCCCAGTCCAGGTCAGGCCCCAGGCTGCGGGACCATCATGCCAAGCCTAAGCCACCTAAGGTCACTCTCCTGGGGTGGCCTCAGCATCATTAACTTCTGACCTCTGTCAGGTCAGCTCCTTCCTCCTCAGTCACCCCATCTCACCCCACCTCTAGGGAGCTTCCAGGAACTCAGCAGGGAGGCCCACGTTTTGGTGACATGGGGCAAGGGCTTGGGAAGGACCCCAGAGCATGGCATGCCCCCCACTCCCAATCTCGCGCCCTTGTACTTTACCTCTTGGCACACCCGGTACTGGTCGATGGCCCACACCGTGGGCACATGAGTGGCGAGCAGCTGGTACTGAGTGAGGGTGGCATTGCAGGCCCGGGCACAGATGAGCCTGGTCTTCCCCACAGCGTTGTCCCCCACCACCACGCACTTGATGGTCTCTACGTTTGGCCTTTCATAATCCATGTCAGAATCCATTAATCGGAACCTGCGGGAGAGGAGAAACGGCGGAGGTGGCGCCCGCGCCCGTACCGCACAATCCCGGCCCCGGCCAGCCCCACTCCTGGGCAGGGAACCCGCCTCCAAGCACTGACGCCACGGGGACGGGAAAGGAGCGGCCACTCTCTGCAACTTTCTGGGCAATAACTGAGCAAGGTCCCGCTTCAGCTGAGAGAAGCCGGAGCCCGCTCAGGCTGAGGAGCACTCCCCCAGGAGTATTTGTCTTCCTCCTGGTTTCACCATCCTCCAACGGGGCGTGTGAGAGGCCAGGCAGGCCTGCGCTCTGGACCCGGCTCCTCGAAAGAGGAGAATCTGAGGGGAAACTCATTCATCCCGCTCGCTCGCTCGCTGCCTCCTCCCAGCACAGGGTGAAGGCGGCGGCAAACAGCTGAGAGCTGCAGAGTCGCCCAGGGCGAGGTCCCACCCCTTCCCGGCATGCCTGAGGGCTGGGTCACTTTAAAATTTAATGGACCTGTGGGAGCTGGGGGCAGCTCTCTTGGCCGCCCCCTTGGCTTTGCTCTTCCTGATGGGGAATTTCCAAGCCGTAGCCCGCTTTCACCCCCTGTAGCCTGCTTTCACCTCCCGTAGCCTGCTTTCACTCCCGTAGCCTGCTTTCATCCCCGCAGTCCCTAGCCCCTTTATGGAGGTGCCAAGCCTTCTGTTTTTGTCTCTGGGCTGGGGAAGCATCCTAAGGCAGGGCACGGTCCTCCCCTCTCCTGTGCCAGGCCTGTGTGCCCAGAGGCAGACCCAGTTTGGAGATGGGACTGGGGATGACCAACGCCTGAGCAGGGGCCTCCCACGGCCGCCCGTGGCTCTTCCCACCCGCCACCCAGGATGCCCTCTGAGCCTTCAGCTGCAGGGGGAGCCAATTGTAGCCCCCTTGGCTCTGCCCATTCCTGCAAGAAGAGGGTTTAGGCGCCAGCCCCCCACACATACAAGGTGTCACCAAGCTCTGGTCATGAAACAGCAAGAGGAACACAAGGGTCAGGCACTGAAACCTGAGTTTCTGGGTAAATTCCTGCCTCAGTTTGCTTTATTTTATTTTATTTTTTTTTTGCATGGGACAGAGGAAGTGGTTTGTCCACCCACAGAGAGGAATGGCTCAAACGCACAAACAGAAGGCCCTTCCGTGGTCAAAATGTCACGTCAGTGTTCAAAAAGCTGTTGCCAGGAGGAGGCCTCAGCTTGAGGGGCTCTGGCTGGCAGCCCCCAGCTGGCATGTACCCACCTGGAAGGGATGAGAGGGAGAGGGGGGTCAAGGCAAGGTTAGCCAGAAAGCTGGTCGTGCCAGGGTTCCCGGGATGGCCACCGTTCACAATCCCTGTGCATCCCGCAATCGGCTCAGCGGGGCCACAGCAAGCAGGAGGCCCCACCCCGGGCTAGAGAAGGATGAGCACAGCGCCCCTACCCCCATCTGCACCCCAGGCTGCACCCAGGCAGCCCAAGGTCCAGGCCAGCAGAGCAGCTCCTTCCCGCTGGTGCTGTAACTGGATGCCCGCACGCAGGGATGCAGAGCTGAAATGCCCAAATAATGCTGGCAACTGGGGTTTGCCCGAGGGCGCGCATCTCAGCAGCCTGGACAAAAAGTAAGGCAAGGACTTTTCAATGAGATAAGCACCTTCTCTTTCTTGAAATTGTACCGGCTCTGGACCCTGCAAGAGTAGGGGGTCTCCAGGCAGGTCCCACCCCAAAGCTCCAGGGCAACTGTCGGCCTCCCTCCTTTCCCCCAGCCTCTAGCCCTCCCCTCTGCCCCTGTGGGCAGCCGGACTTTTAAGCGCCATCTTGGCTCCTCCCAGCTCGCTCATGGCAAGGGCCTGGGACTCCACTTTCACCGTCCAGGCCTCAGGTCGAGAAGCATTCCCACTGGGAGTTAACGTCTGGACTGGTGTTTCTGTTTCATCAACTGGAAGACAAATCCCATGGAAACCCCAATACCAATATGCATGTGTTAGAGAAGAAAGATGAAAACCCATGAGTCAGTAGAACTTCTTAAATTCTGACTCTAGTGGCGCATCAGTCTGAAGGTAGAAGTGGGGACGAGGAGTGTATGGAAGAGGGATGCTGGCGCCGAAATCAGCCTCGTGAAGGCAAGGACAAGGCCACGGCGTGAGCAGAGTCAGGCTGGCTCAGGATGAGTGAGTCTGACGAAGCCCACACAGATACCTAGGGTTTTTTTGTTTTGTTTTGTTTCTCTTTTTTTGCTTTTTGGGTCATACCCTGTGATGCTCAGGGGTTACTCCTGGCTTTGGACTCAGAAATTACCCCTGGTGGTGCTCGGGGGACCATATGGGATGCTGGGAA